TTCTTCCTTGTGCTTTGGCTTCCCTGCGCTCCAGTGCAATTTTCGGAGTCTCTTCTGACATCCATTTTGGTCTTCGCTTCCTCTTCTGTCTTTGCAATGACCATTTGCACTCTTCCTGGATGATAACCTTGGTATCCTCCCACAACTCATCTGGTCTTCACTCATTAGTGTTCACTGCCTCAAACCTGTTCCTGAGATGGTTCTGAAATTTAGGTGGGAGAGACTCAAAGTCATATATTGATTGCCTTGGATTTGGCTTAATTTTCCTCAACTTCAGCTTGAACTTGCGTATGAGTAGTTGGTGGTCTGTTCCATCCTTGCATACTTGTTATGAATCCCACTTGGTCATGGTGAATTTTTTTTAAATGTGTTGTTGGATTCTATTGGCCAAGATTTTATTCACGATTTTTGCATCAATGTTCATGAGATATTTTGTATAGACCTATAGGGTTTTTTGGGGTTTTGTTTGTTTGTTTGTTTGTTTGTTTTTGGTGTCTTTGTTTTGTTATCAAGAACATGTTTGCTTCATAGAATGAGTCTGGGAGAATCCCATTTTTTTCTGTTTTCTGGAAAAGTTTATGTAGAGCTGGTGACAGATCTTCTCTGAATGTTTGATAAAATTCACTTGTAAAACTATCTGGTCCAGTACTTTTTTTTGGCTGGAAGTTGTTTTATTACCTTTTCATTTTTTTCTTTTGTAATGGGTCTGTCCAGCGGTTCAGTTTTGTTTGGTGTCAGTTTAGGTAGGTTATGAATTTCTAAGGGTTTGTCCATTTCCTCTAGGTTTTCATATTTGATTGAGTATAATTTTTCCATAATATTCCAATGTTAGCCTTTTTATTTTAGTAGGTTCTGTTTTGATGTTTCCCATTTGATCTCTTATTTGCATTATTTTTGTCTTTTCCTTAGTTTTACTATTGGTTTGTTGATTTTATTGACCCTTTCAAAGAACCAACTCTTAGTTTTGTTGATAGCTTCAATTGTCTTTTGGTTTTCTATTTGATTTATTTCTGCTCTAATTTTTATAGTTTCAGATTTTTTTAGAAGGTGTCAGGTTTTCTTGCTGTTCTTTTTCAATTTGTTGGTTTAGAGAGTCAATGATCATTTGATATGTCTGCTTATCTATATAAATTGACCTCTGATTACTGCTTTGGCTGTTTCCCAGAGGTTTTGGTAAGTTGTTTTTTCATTGTCATTTGTTGCAAGATACTTTTTAATTTCATTTTTTTTCTTCTGGTACCTAGTCATGTTCAAGCAAGGTAGTGTTCAGCTTCCAAATGTACCGTTTTTTCTCCTTTATCCTCTTATTAATGATTTCTGATTTTGTAACAATGTTGTTTGAGAAAATGCTGTGGATTATTTCTATGTTTTTAAATTTATTGATGTTTGCCTTATTACCTAAAATGTGACCTCTTCTGGACAATGATCCATGCACATTGGAGAAGAAGATATACCATGGGATTTTTGTTTGTTTGTTTTTGGGTGCATTAGCCTATAAATATCTATGAGGTTAAGTTGGTTTATTGTGTGATTTAATTTTTGAGCATCTTTGTTGAGCTTTTTTTCTGGTAGTTCTGTCTTTTCTTGAGAGTGGTGTATTGACGTCTTCAACTACTATGGTAGTGTTGTCTATTTCCTTTTTCAATTTTGTTAATGTTTGTTTTATATATTTTGCATGTCTTTCATTTAGTGCATAGATATTTATTATTGATATGTCCTCTTATTCTATTAACCCTTTAAGCATTATGTAGTGAGTGACCTTCCTTGTACTTTGTGATGGTTTTGGCATTGAAATTTATTTTATCAGAGATTAATATCACTACTCTTGCTTTTTTCTGGTTGCCATTTGATTGGTATATTTTTTCCCATCATCTTATTTTTATTCTTTATCTTAATTTTTCAGGTGTGTCTCTTGTAGACAAAATATTGGTGGATTTTGGTTTTTTATCCAGTCTGATACTCTTTTTTTTCTCTTCAGTAGTGCATTCAAACAATTCACATTCAGTGTGATTATTGAAAGGCAGGGTTTTATTGCTATCATTTTGTTGAGTTCTTTTTGATGTTGTTGCTAGTTACTTTGGTCCATGCTGCTTTCTGTGGCACCTCTGTAAGAAGGACATTTCTCAGTGTTTCTTGCAATGTTTTTACAACCTCCCTTAGGTTCTGTTTTTCTGGGAATATCTTGATCTCTCCTTCATATTTGATGGACACTTTTGCAGGGTACAGCTTTCTTGGTTTATAGTTGTGTTCTTTGAGTGTTTGATATGTGTCTTTCCATTGTCTTTTTACTCGCATGATTTCAGCTGAGAAATCAGCATTTAATCTTATCTGCTCTCCCTTATAGGTTACTCTTTGTTTCTCCCTCACTGCCTTCAGAATTCTCTCCTTATCTTTGGTTATGATAAATTTGACTATGGTATGTCCTGGTGGGTTTTTTTTTTTGCAGTCTATTCTTTATGATGTTCACTCAGCTTCTTGAAAATATATTCTCTCATTCTTCATTATGCCTTGGAAGTTTTCCTCTAGTAATTCTTCTACAACTTTTTCAGTGCCTTTACTTCCTTCTTCCTGTTCTGGTATTCTAATGGTATTCTTCTGGTATATTATTTCTCTTGATTGTGTCCCACATTACTCTTAATTTTTCTTCTTTTTCCTTCCTTTTTGAGTCTGCTTTTTGCTCTAGCAGATCAGTGGTGACAATTCTCTCTTCTATTTCACTGGTTCTGTGTTCCATCTCTTCAATTCTGCTTATGTGTACCTGCATCATGTTGACAGCATCTGAAACCTTGGACCTCATACTTTGGATCATGGTTTCTTGTTTTTCCAGTGCCACTAATGCATTGTTTGTTCTATCTGCATTGTTCTGATTTTTTTTTTAATCTCCTCCTGATTTTTGTTTGCTGTGTCCTATAATTCTTCAAGTTTGTCTTTTACCCATTGAAAATATTCAATTACTGTTCTTTTAAATCCTCTGTCACAAAGTTTCATCAGACTTTCTGGCTTAAGGAAAGCCATTGATACTGTGTCACCTTTTGAGTATGACATCTTGTTTTGTGCTTGTGTAGGGTGTGAGATTGCCTGCTTTTTTTCATTACATTGATAGGTTCTTGATCTGAAGACAATGCTCTAGAAATCAGTGGGACAGCTACCCCATGTATGTTTCTCTCTGAACTTCTGACTGAAGGGAAGGTTCAATTCAGGGTCTGTGAGAGCAGCCTCTTGTAGCTAAGTCAGATCAAGGTGCTCCAGATTAAAGGCAAGTTGATTGAGTGGACATGCATCACAAGTGTGGAGCTTAATGTGGGGCAGGGTAGGTCTTGGGGGGGGGCAGGTTGACCACAGGAGCGGGTCAACCACTTATGGGGACCTCACTCAGATTTCAACTGTCTGAGTATGCTCATGAGTGGGGGCACCTACTCAAATTCCAGCTCTCCGTCTCCCATCCAGCAGCTTTGGCTCAGCATTCTTTGCCTAGTGGCCCTCCACTAGGTGCCGTCGCCCAGTGGCCTCCACCTCAGTGGGGCCCTGAGCCCCACAGGACTTAAGATAACTTAGTCAAATTCCCACCAATTGCTCGTGGCCTGTCAGTGGGGCCCAAGAAAATGCCATCAAATTCCCACAAACCTGCTCACTCCTGGTGGGTCTATGTGGCCCAAGAAAACTCAGTCAAATTCCCACAGACCTGCTTGCTCCTGGCAGTGGGTCCCACAGTGGCTCAACTGGCAGCTTCTGTCAGGGCCCATGGCTCACTGCTTCTGTGGTTCCCAAACTAATTATTTTAACAAAAGTTCTGACACAAATTCATACTGTCCATGTCATGCTGCATTGGTTTCTGTGTGCTGCATCTGTCTCTCTGGTGGGCCATTTCTATGCATCTTGCGGCTCCTTCAGCTCCTTAAGCTGTTTCCTCCACCATTGCCATCTTGGTTCCTTGCTGCAGACTTTTACAAGCAATCTGCGTATCTGACTTAGTGGATACCTTCTGTTCTCATTTCCTCAGACCATCCTGGTTTTCAGAGCAGTCTTTGTAATAGAATGTGTTGGTCTTTCACATTAGGAGCTGGTCATAGTGGGTTTCATAGACACAGAGAGGATTTGGGATGTAGGTGTACTAGAAGAAGATCTGGAGTGAAGCATCAGAGATCCTAAACTTGCTACTCTGTGCTCCTCTCTAGGCTACAGATCAGATAATGGGCACCCAGGGCTGATACAGAAAGGCCAAGTCTCCAGTACATAGATGGAGTGTGGATCCTCCCTGTGGCTCTCAGGAACCCTGCCAGGGAGAGACCCAGCATGCTTGTGGGGGCAGATAGGCATGTTCAGGGATGTTTCTATGTAGTTACCTAGGGACCCTGAGTAGACAGAAGAGGCCAGTATGGCAGACACTAGGCCTGAAATGAGCTGTTGGCTATGAAACCAAGAAATATTAGCATGGAGAATGCTTGTGCAGTGGGAGTTATGCAGAAGTGTGTTTGGTCTGTAGAAAAGGTGTTAATAGGTGGATAGATGGCAGGTCAATGAGAGAAAGAGAAGTTTTGCCAGGTGGGAGATAGTAAAGGACAGCTCTGAATGGCAAAGGAGCTCTGGTGGCCCAATGGTAAGTAGCAGCACTGCAATCCCAAAGACATTTGGTTCAAATTCACCAGCTGCTCCATGGGAGGATGGGCAATCTTCTCTCTTGAGGTTTACTCTACGATACACAAAATCAGCATCAACTGAGTAGGTAAAGTATTTATTAAAAAACATGTTGCACATGCCTTGCCAGACTAATCTCTGTGTAATGATATTTGTTCAGTGTGCTAAGTACTTCCTTTTTAAAAAAAAATTTATTATTTGTGTGTATGTACCGTCAAATCAGGTCTGACTAGTACAGGAGGAGATTGCCCTTCCTTCTCCGGCAGAGCATATGGTGGATTTGAAACGCATATCTCTGGGATTGCAGTGCAGCTTCTTGGCTCTAGGCCAGCAGAGCTCCCCTAATTACTTCTAAATAACTTCCTGTGACCTTATGATGATGAAAGAAAAGAGGCTTATTTTATGATTTTCCTCCCCTCTCTAGGTTAAACTTGAAGCTTCATCTGTTAGCTTTTGCACCATGCACCGTGATGAACCTCAGCATCAACTCTTGGTTTTGGTTAATCCTCAGGACACAAAGACAGGTTGGTACTTATCAATGGATTTTCCAAGGAGGGATCCTAATTTAATGATACACCATTAGAATCCAGGAAGACCAAGGGAATTGGTAGTTGCTATCTTAGGCAGAATTTAGGACTTCAGTGTAGTACTCAATTGTTTCCCCCAGCTTTTAAGGATTCTGTAGTGTGGAAGTTTTTTATGCTTATTGACACATGTAAAAATGGCTTTTGTTTTGAAGCCTACCCTCTCATACATGGCAACTATACTCAGAGGTGCTTTTGAACATAGCTGTTTTTGTTAGCAGCATGTGTACTGGGGTATATGTAGGGGCAACTTTACCTGTAATGCTATAGTCACCCATTGAAGCAGGAACCAGTCTTAATAAACAAGTGAGGGATCAAGGTCCAGAGTGGTTGTGTAACTCCCTGAAGCCACTTAGCAGGGCACAGTAAGGTGTGGACTGGGGATAGGTGCTGAAGTTTTATAGAATCTGTGATCCACTTCTTCCTCTGTGTTAGACGAGGCTATTTGTGGCACACTTTCACTCCCTGGAATGAGCCCTCCAGAAAGAGTGGCCAAGCTCAGTGCAGTGGTGTTTTTGGGACCTGACAGGGGCAGCATGAGGTGGGGAAGAAGGAAAGATTCTGGCTTGCTCGGGTCCCAGGAACTAGAGCATCCTCTTATGAATACAAGCAAAGTGCCTCATCCCTGACCTCATGGGTTTCTCAATCTAAATCCTATCCTATTAGAAATAGTCTCCATTATTACACTTTTCTGTTTTCTAAAATGATCATGTATTACTTTTTTCTAATATTTTCTAAAACTTCATTAATGCATTAGCACAACACAACTCCCCCCCCCCCCCCCCCCCGCCAACTGAATTGGTTTTGCTCATAGCAACTCTCACTTGGATTTGTGAGGCTGTAAATGACATTGGAAGGAGGCTACCCATCTTTCTTCTGTAGAGGTGCTCATGGATTTAAACTGCTTGTCTTTATGTTTAGAACTGTGGCCAGAGCCCCCTCCATAATGAATTATTTTTGGTTTTTTTAAGTCAGTTCAAACTCACAGCAGTCCCTACAGTGGGATTTCAAGGTTATAAATCATGGGAAGAGATGGTCAAGCTCTTGCCTGCCTGGAGTTTCTAATGGATTCAGATCACCAGAGAAGGGCAGTCTCTAGATTAGCAGCACAACATTTTATAGAATGTTTCACCTGAGCTCCCTTAAAGAATTGTTCTTGTTAGGGGCCATCTGCGAATAACATAGCTGACCCTTGCCAAGCCTGCACCATCACCACAGTCTCTGCCACACTCAAACATATGACTGAAATAACTGTGTCAATCCATCTTGTTGAGAGCCTTTTCTTTCCTTCACTGACTCCCTACCTTTACCTGAATGATGTCATTTTTCCAGAGACTAGCCCTCTTGACAACATGCCCAAAGTGTGCAAGATAAATTTTACCATCCTTGTCTGTAAAAAGCGCTCTTTGTTTGTTCTTTTGGCAGTCTATGGTATATTCAGTACTCTTCACCAACATCACAGTTCAAAGGCATCAAGTATTTGCTGGTTGTCTTTCTTCATTATCTAACTTTCAAGTGTATTTGAAGCAATTGAAAATATCATGACTTCGATCAGGTGTACTTTAGTCTTTAAAACTGACACCCTTGGTATTTAACACTTTTAAGAGATCTTCGACAGCAAATTTCCACCAATGCAACACATATTTTGATTTCTTGACTGCTACAATGGTTGTATCTAAGTAAATTAATCCAAGTAAAAAGAAATAACTTACAGTTTCAGTCATTTCTTCATTTTTCTTGATGTTACCTATTGATCAAGTGGTGAAGATTTTAGTTTTATTCATGTTGAGATGTTATCTTTGAGAAGATAAAGCAAAATATTATGGAAAAATGTGCAAAGAATTGGAGTTAGACAAATAAAAGGGTAAAATAAATTCAACGTTTTTCAAATTAAAATATCTAAAGACCAAATTCAAGCCTCAAGTTACAATACTGAAGGATTCAATGGGCAAAATATTGAATGCTGCAGAAAGCAGCAAAACAAACTGTGGTACATCCACACAATGGAATAGTATGCAGCATTCAGGAGCAACAATTTAGAAAAAATGGTACATAACTTGGCAGAGATTAGAGAGCATTATGCTAAGTGAACTAACTCAGTCTCATAAGGACAAATACTGCATAAGACCATTATTGCAAAAATAGAAGAATAGCCAATTAAACATATAGGGACCGTGGAGGGAAGAGGTGGGAGCCGAGGGGTGAGGATGAGAGGGTGAAACCAAGGGTTACACAGTTTCGTGGGAAGGGAAGAAGGAAATGTGAAGGATCCAGAGGATACCTGAAAAGATTGGGTAATGATGGGCAAGGCCCAATGGTGATTGATTTTATAAAACATAGTGCATGAGAGCTTTTCAACCCTTTCATACCTTTTCAAACTGTATGCAGAACAGATTATCCAGGAGGCTGGGCTCTTTGAGGAGAAGTGTGGTGTCAGGATTGGTGGAAGATCTATCAACAACCTGTGTTATGCAGATGACACAACCCTGCTTGCTGAAACTGAGGAGGACCTGAAGTGGTTGCTGCAGAGGGTCAAGGACTGCAGCCTTCAATATGGATTGAGGCTCAGTGTCAAGAAGACAAAGATTCTCACCACTGGGCCAACTGGCAACATCAGGATGGATGGTGAAGAGATTGAGATTGTTCACAGCTTTAGTTTGCTTGGCTCCACAGTCAACA